AAACTTCTGGGAGAAATACCACAGAACCAGGGCTGATTGGATTCTCAGCATGGGAGAGAAGGGGGATATGAAGAGGATCCTGAGGTTTCAAGTTTGGCAGGTGATGATACCTTTAGCCAGGACAGGAAAGACAGGAAGAGAAGCAGATGTGCAGGGAATGGAGGAGCCTGAAGCTAGTACTGCTGTTCCTTCATTTGAGAAGCCAGCTCTAGCAGTGTTAAGAGGGACCAAGCTCAAGCAACAGCCAGGGGTGGCTATTCTAGTTCAGGTTAGGTCAGAGGAAAGACAGCTATATATGTGCCCACATGAATCAAGCCAGCATTTCCCATCCTCCCAAGACTGTAGAACTTTGATAGAGGTTTAAGGGTGACTTAGTCAAGGAAGGATCATAACACAGAATGAGGGGTGTTCAGACCCTCTACTCTAAAAGATAACTTAGTGGAGAAGGTGATTGGGAATGATGGAGTGATGGAGGAAGGTAATTGGAGTGTAGTGGGGGGTGGGGATTCAGCAGCTCCTTCTTTGACCTAGGTGGCCTGAAGATTCTTAACTCTGCGACACTGTTGTTGATCAAGTATTAATCTTGACCTAATGTCACCTTGCAGCAGAACCCAATCTCCCAGAGGACTTAGCCTACATCACTGAACTCATTTACCACCCCACCCCCCACAGACGTGGTTTCTAAGGTTCTTTCCACCGGATGCTACGACAAAAGGAAATGTATGGGTGGGGCGGGGTTTTCAGAAACCAGTTCAAACCACACAGACTACACCACTACACCGAGAGAAAGAGGAGCAAGCGCCATGTTGAAACTATTATTGCCACCTAGATCCTTCTTACTGCTTCAGCTGCTCCTGCTAGGGGAAGGGTGGAGCTCCAAGGTTCTCATGCCCAGTGGAAATGAAGACACCAAAACTGGTAGGAAATCTAGGACCAGAGGGGGTTGTTGAAAGGAGAAAGGCTATGGGGAAAGGACTGTATGGAAAAAATCTGGAGCCTGATAGTGGCCATTATAATGACTCTAAAGAGTAGAGTGGGGGAGGGCCTGGGGAAGGGCTCTCTGCCTCACTCTGCTTCTCCTGATCAAGATTTCTTTTCTTCTACTCCCCTACTTCATTTTGTTCCCAAATTAGGTTTCTTCCATGGACACATCAGTGTTCCTCCTCGGCCCCTTCCAGAGGTCCAATGCTTTGTGTTCAATGTCGAGTATATGAATTGTACTTGGAATAGCAGTTCTGAGCCCCAGCCAACCAACCTGACTCTGCACTATAGGTATGAGAAGGGAGGGTGGGTAGCACAGGAAAGAAAAGAAGGTGGACTAGCTGAGAGAGACTGCATGGGAATCCAAAAAGAGGGTAGCCAGCTTCTCAGGCACCATACTGGTTTCTCATGGGCTAAGTTGTCAGTTCCCATGAGATGAGGCTAGGCTATGGATGTATGCAGCGCCCACGTTTGCCCCATCATCCTTCTTTCTTATAACTGTTCTCTAGGTACCAGAGATCTGATAATAAATTCCGGGAGTGTCTCCACTATCTGTTCTCAGAAGAGATTACTTCCGGCTGTCAGATACAAAAAGAGGAGATCCAGCTCTACCAGACATTTGTGGTCCAGCTCCAGGACCCCCGGAGACCCCAGAGGCAGGCTGAACAGAAGCTAAACCTGCAGAATCTTGGTAATCAGGAAAGAAGTAACCAAGAGGCTAGGGAGTTTGAGGGCACTGAACTTTAAGGATTTTTTTTTCCTTCCTCGTTGTTGGCCATGGGCAGGAGGGAGAAGATAGGGGTTTGGGATGGGGGAGGGGGAGGGATAAGGAGAATTACCTCCAAGATCCTGACTTGTCTAGGCCAGGGCAATGACCACACGCACACATATCTCCAGTGATCCCATGGGCTCCAGAGAATCTAACACTTTACAACCTGAGTGAATCCCAGCTAGAGCTGAGCTGGAAAAGCACATACACGGAACACTGTTTGCAGCACTTGGTGCAGTACCGGAGTGACAGAGATCGAAGCTGGACGGTGAGAGACTTGCGGGTGTGGATGCGGTAGCTAAGGCCAAGCAAGAGAGGAGAAAGGACTCAACTAGCCAGATAGAAGGACCTAATGCCAAGCTCCAGTTCTCTGCCTCCCAGCTCCTCTAGCCATACTTTCTCTTTTTGCCTTTGGTTTTCCGAGACCAGGCTGGCCTCGAACTCACTGAGATTCACCTGCCTCTACCTCCTGGGTGCTGGGGTCAAAAGCGTGTGCCACCACCGCCTGGCTTCATTTCTTCTTCTACCACCGCCAGTGAGCTTTCGCTCTGACTCTCCCACCCGTCCTCTTCCTGATGCAGACATGAGGGAGACAGTGAGTGGCTCCGGAGGGGAGATCCACTTCTGAGCCAAGTTAGAAAAGGGACCAGCGCATTGTGAGTAGTCAGGAAAGAAGCGAAGTAGACCTGGGAGGAACCAGAACCAGTTTCTTGTTTTGTTTTCCTGGAACTGGAAAGAACCAGAAGTCAGAAGAACCCGAAGATAAATTGGAAGAATCAGAAGATGACATTAAGGTATAGGCAAGAATGTTTCCATTCTCTCTTCCTTTATAGACAACCATCTTTCCCCCATCCTTCTTCTCCCCAGGAACAAATAGTGGATCAGAACCCTAGATTCTCCCTGCCTAGTGTGGATGGGCAGAAACTGTACACATTCCGGGTTCGGAGCCGCTTTAACCCACTCTGTGGAAGTGCTCAACACTGGAGTAAATGGAGCCAACCTATTCACTGGGGAAGCCAAACAGCAAAGGGTAAAGTGACCCAAATACATGACCCCTAAATCATAAACCCAGTATCCCAACCTTTGTAACACACTACCACTATTGTTTGCTTTATCTCGCTATTCCTAAGCCTCTACCTCCACCCACTGTTCAAACTCAATTATGAAGCAGCGTTTTCTGTGTAGGGATGAGAAGGGGTGCAGCCAGAGTAGGCGAGTGGCTCCCCAAGGAGGCCAAAGGGTGCTCAAAGGGAATATGGAATGTGTAGGAGGTCTGGACAGCATTCCATAGAATCTGCATAGTGGAGATGCCCTTGGATCAGGGCTGACCTCTTTGATTTGGTTTATCCGTCTGTAAAATGTAGATAAACACTGTTCCTCCCTTTCAGGAGCTGTGGAGAAAGTAAGCATAAGGAGTGTGTTTGGCAGGGTGCCTGGCATCCATGTCTTATGAGTGCCACAAACGCAAGGCTCATTTTCCTTTCCTTTTCTTCTACAGAGAATCCTTCCGTGTTTGCCCTGGAAGCTGTGCTCATCCCCGTTGGCTCCATGGGATTGATTATTACCCTGATCTTTGTGTATTGTTGGCTGGAACGGTGAGAGTTCAGGAAGCCCTGAAAATGAGGTGGGGGGTGGCGGGGTTATTTCAGGATTGGCAGAGGGAGAGCATCAAGAGCTATGATGAGGGCTTGGAGAGGAAGCTATAGGTTCCACGCTGACCAGTTGAATGCACGGTCATAAAGGAGCTTTAATTTAATGCTTCTGCTCCCCCCTCTTTCTGCTCAGGGCAATGCCTCGAATTCCCACCATCAAGAATCTAGAGGATCTGGTTACTGAATACAACGGGAACTTTTCGGTGAGAACACCGCCATACGCATACTGCAGGCTATCAGCTGCCAACTGCCAGCTAGCAGCTAGTGAGACAGACTGTGAGGGGGGCAGAGTGGAGGCAGGAGAGGGTCTGCATCATCAGGATGTGGCTGACCAAGTGGAGGGTGGGCTAGGCAGAGAGACAGAGCAAAAGAGATTTGTGATGCAGATGGCAACTGTGGTATTAGGGGCCCTGGAACTTGGGTATCCTTTCTGTAATCACAATGGTTGCAGAGTTGTGAGGGCTCCTTTGGCCCCAAGTATGGGTCTTTTGCTTCCTGCCTCTAATTGACCTCTGACCTGGGGATATCTGTCTTTAGGCCTGGAGTGGTGTGTCTAAAGGGCTGACTGAGAGTCTGCAGCCAGACTACAGTGAACGGTTCTGCCTCGTCAGTGAGATTCCTCCCAAAGGAGGGGCCCTAGGAGAGGGGCCTGGAGGGTCTCCTTGCAGTCTGCATAGCCCCTACTGGCCTCCTCCATGTTATTCTCTGAAGCCTGAAGCTTAAGACTCAATCCCTTGATGGAACCTCAGGGTCCTCTCACCCTAAGTGATGCTAACTTCCCCCTTGCTCATCTTGCCAGTCTGAATCCAATGCCCATTGCTTCCTCCCTGTGACTAAATTTCAATTTCATTCCCCCATGGAGCTGCTCGTCCACTCAATATGCCCTACTTGAGAAATGCCCCTTGCCCCCTTTCCCTGCGCAAGCCCCACCCCCACCCCCTTCTGGCACCTTCCCCTGTTTTTGGAGACAGTCTTACCCTATAGCCCTGGGTGGCTGGGGACTCACTATGTAGGCTAGGTTGGCCTATAACTCAGGCAACCCTCCCACCTCAGCCTCCAGAGTATTCCGGTTATCTGCATGTACGACCATGCCCAGCATGGCCCTTCTCTGTTACAGGATCCTTTCTCCCCTTTCCCACCTACCATTCAATTGTTCGGGAACCAACAAGAAATAAAGTTTCTACCAATGATCATCAGAAATGTCTGTTGTGGGGTTGGGAAGCAGGGGAAGCACGGAGTTGGGAGGAATGGTGTAAGGGCAGGGAAAAAAAGACAATGGCACTACAGGAGCAAGAGCGCTACAAAGTAACTAAAGGGAGGACTGTTCTTCTAACTTACTTTTCTCTGCTAAATTTCTGGGCTTATTCTGGGGGCCAGTTTAGAGTTGAATTTGCCGTGTTGTTCCAGCTCCTCAGAGTTCCCAGCCAGTGTCTTCGCCTCTTGGTCACATTTCACCTAGTCTGTGTGCCCCTTCTGACCTCACAGTCCTCCAGCTGCAGCCTCAGACCCCACCCCTCCAGATGCTGATCATCCCTAGCTGCCAAAAGCACTCTCTTGTCTGCCCGGTCTGGGCCTTCTTCACCTTGTAAGAAACACCTGCCCCTTTGGTCATCCAACCCTATGGGCACTCTCAGCTGCCTGGGGCCACTAGAACACCTGCCCTCTGCATGACTCACCAGGAGATCTTTGAAGAGTGAGATGATCTTGATAGCATGTTTATCATCATCAAACATGGAGGTGAGGGGCAAGCACAGAGCAAGTCTGGGCATGGACCTGGGGAGGGCTGAGGACGGCAGAGATCACAGAGGGGATGGACCCAGAGAAGGGCCCGCATACCTGTGTCCCATCTCTTCTAGATAACCAAGAGTTTCTGGTCAACAGCAACTGCTCCATTCTCCTGTTGCTACATTACATTAGAAAGAAAATGGGGTTGCGTAAAACAGGTAAGTACTTTGGGGAGGAGCAGCGGCTGAAGGTCAGAAGCCATAAGCTGACTCCGGCATCTAAACTTTCCTCCCAGCAACAAGAGCTATCCTCACATCCCTGGGCCCTCCTCAACTCCAACCCATTCTATACTGGGTCACTAGCCCTTTTTACTCGCGTTCTCTCTCCTTACTTGTCTCAATTACCCCGTGGCCTTCCTTTAGACACCATCGATTTGTGTGATGAAACTGGGACCATGAAGTTATTTTTCTTGACAAAGACACCTGGGGACTACGCCAGCAAATTCCTTACAGCACGAAATACCTACTACGTTTGTAAAGTAGAGCGTGGAGCAGCAGGTAGAGGCTTGGGGTATTCGCCATAGAGTCCCTCAAAAGGGATTAAAATAAGGCCCCTTTCTCTTGTAATCCCAGCACTCGGGGGAACTAAGGCAGAAGGATTGTAAATTCAATTCAGGGCAGCCTGGGCTTCATAGCACGATCTCATTCCAAACACCACACACACACACACACACACACACACACACACACACAAGCCAACAGCAACAAACATAAAGCAGGGCTGGCTGGGATGTAGCTCAGTTGAGTTGGCAGAGTGCTCACCTAGCATGCATGAAGTTCTGGGTCTCATCCCCAGCACACACTCTATGTGGTGGAGCATGCCTATAATCCTAGCACTTGGGAGGTGGAGACAGGAGAATCAGAAGTTTGAGGTCATCTTTAACCATACAGCAACTGTGAGGACAGCCTGGGTTTCATAAGACCCTGCCTCAAAATAAATACATTCTTTCTTTTCTTTTTCTGAGACACGGTTTCTCTCTGTAACAGCTCTGGCTGTCCTGGAACTCGCAGAGTTCCCTAGTTCCCTGCCTGCCCCTGCTACCCAAGTGCTAAGATCAAAGGTGTGCACCACCACACAACATAAATACATTCTTTAGAAACTGAGGTAAGGAGAATTGAGAGTTGGAGGCCAGCTTGGGCCATATAGCAAGACACTGCCTCAGAAAACACCCACAGGTTGGAGCCAGGAACATTGGGTGTTCAAAGTGGACTTGGGCTATATGAAATCCTATCCCCCCCCCACAACATATTAGTAAATAAAATAGGGTATCCTTAACCAGATCCAAATTGACCATGTCTAATCAGCTCAAAGAAGGGACATTGCTTTGATGGCAGTAGGTTAGGTTCATATATATACCATGTCACCCTACTTCATCCTACGGTTCTTGTAGGTTTATGCCAAAGGGGAGGGAAATGTGCATGAGCTCAAGTAAATATTTAGTGAAGAATCCTGAAATAATGGGCTTCAAAAAGTCAGAGACTTGCTGGGCAGTGGTGGTGCATGCCTTTAATCCCAGCACTAGGGAGGCATAGACAGACGAATCTCTGTGAGTTCGAGGCCAGTCTGGTCTACAGAACAAGTTCCAGGACAGGCTCCAAAGCTACAGAAAAGCCCTGTCTCAAAAAACCAAAAAAAAAAGGATAGAAACTTGGTATGTCTCAGGGGCTGAAAATAGCACAATGCTATGTTTACAGGCACCAGGATCGAGAATTCCTACAAAGCTGTTGTGCCCCTCTTGAAGAATCCAGAACCTGAACTAGTTGGTAAGGCATGTGATGGGGGAGGAAGGGCATAGGAAGTTGTGTATGTAGCTGTGTGCTGGGCATAGTACCAACACTGGTAACCCTGGTACTCCAGAGGATTTTGAGTTAAAGGCAGCCGAGGCTGGATGTGGAGAAGTCTATCAGGGAAGGGAGGGTATGAATGTAGGGGTGGGGCTAGCACACTGGGGTAGGTGGGATCATAGGAGCTTAGGAAAAGGGGGACAAGGGTCTAGGTCAACTCTTTAGGGGGTTGTCTAGTTTAAACTAACTATACATGTCACTCCTTCCCCCATGTCCTTGTCGTCTTTTCCATTTCCCAACCACCTGTGGGAGCCAGCCAAACACCACCCTCTCCTCACTTCCTCTGTAGGTCAAGTTACCCTGACTAATCAACGGAATGATGGAGGGTCATGGTGGGTTCCATATCTCTTCCTCAGAGGTGATGCTGCTTTTTCTTGTTTTCTAGAGTCCTTGCGCACACAATGTGACTTCCTGGAGAGAAGCCGAATAAAGATGCTTAGAACTCTAGAGGCTAAGAGATTGGCAGCCATGGAATCCTCCGTAAATCTTCCAGCAAGATCCTCCAAGGGTGGTGGAACCCAGCAGGGCGCTAGTCAAAGCAGTCAACAGAAGGTTTGTGCCCTGCCGACCCCTCAGAATTTCCTGTCTAAATCTCATGTCTATGTTCATCACCTGACTCCAACCTCTCTTCTCCTTCCTTCGGCCCTAGACAGTAGAAACCTTTCCTGCAGAGCCTCGATATTAATAGCTTCATTTCTCTTTTCTAGTCTAAAGCTGGACGATCAGATGAAGATGGGCCGGCTCCCACCCGCAGACCATACTATAAGACTCGAGCAGACTTTCTCAAGAGACATCGTTAACTCAATAAATGACCAGCTGAGAGCAGCAACTACCAGGGGAGAGCATGAAATTAGTGGAATTTTATGTGAGGCCTTCTTTTTCTAGAAAGACTCCTTCTCCCCATATCTGCACAAAGGCTTCAGTAGGCTGCAGGCACCAGGGACGCTGAGGGTGGACCTGAGCGACAACAGAGGGCTGGAGTGAACACTTGCGGGGTGTGGGGGGGTGAGGAATGACTGTGAAGTCTGGTTACTAGACTTTTAATACAATGAGCCTTTGAGGGCCAGAGAAGGGGGTGGGGTCTTCTCAAACCAGACTACCTCCCCTCGGGGGAGGCCTATCTTGCGGCGGCCCACTCGGGCTGGGGTTAGGTGTCCCTCCCCCACCACACTCCATTACCTCCCAGGCTGAAATTCCCCCACCTCCCAGCCTGTGGGCAGTCCCTCCCCACCCGCCCTTCAACTAACTGCCCTTTGCTTTTCCGCCTCCCTCCCCTATATTGGAGGGGGGGCAGCAAGGCTGCAGAAACCAGAAACCAGATCTGATTATAGACATTTATTGAACTCATTTATTGATTTGACACACTTCCCCACTCCAACCTAGCACATGATACAATCTGGGTAGGCTAGGCGCTGACACAGGAAATGATGGGAACCCACAGCAGGGGTGGGGGAGGGGACAATGCAAAGGACGCTAGGGGGAGGGGCTGCTTGGGGGCTGGGGTGGAGGAGCCCCAGATGGCCTCTCTGGCAGGTGCTAGTAAACCTGATCCACATTCCCCCCATCCCTGCTCATTTCCCAGACCCTCAGCCAAACTCCCCAAGCTCCCCCTTCCCTGTTCCTCTCCACAGCCCTGCCTGCCACCACACAGTCTTCCACAGAACCCTGGCAGTCCATGACTGGGAAGAAGGGCAGGGACAGCTGTCCCAAGCCTTGAACAGGGAGGTCTCTGTACCTAACTTTACTAACCTAAATCCTTCCTTCTTTCACGCCCCTCCCAGGCCCTAAGCCAATTTCAGGCCTCGGATGCTCTCTGGTAGTCAGAGTGCCCACTCCACAACAGGACCTTCTAGGCACAAGTGGAGAGGATGCAGGGGCTTGCCTTAGGTTTCTTTCCTTAAACTCTAACCTAAATATGCATGCAACTTTTTCTAGACCTGGTCCAAAAGGGAGGGTTTCCCTCCAGTCGCCTTTGCTCCCCACCTCTCCCCAGCTTCCTGTGTCTCCCTCCTAGAATTTGTAGTGTTTGTATCATGTCACTATGCCAAAGCCTTCAGAAAGAAAAAAAAAAGCATTCTCCCCATTACTAGCACCTCACCACTGTTAAAAAATCTCTATATTTGTGTTTATATTTCTTTAAAAGTTTATAAAAAGCCTGTCTGTTATCTGTATCCTTCCAAAAGTGATTTGGCCTGGTGAGCCACTCCAGTGCTCAAAACTTGGCCCTTCTAGGTTCCCTAACCCCCCACCCCCCACCCCACTGCATAAAAATCCAGGCCCAACCTGGCCTGGCCCAGCTCTAGTAAGACTCTCTACCAAAAAAAAAAAAAAAACCCTGCTCCCAAAGGCAGGGGTAATAAGGCCACTGGTGACTTCACAGTTCTAACAGCATTGCTAGCCCCTGCTACAAGGCCTAGAAGGTGGGAACGGGGAAATCAATGATGGCTCCTGAGAAAGGGCCACAATTGCCCCCTAATTGGCACAGTGAGAACACGCCCTCTCCCCTTTCTCCTCCCATCGCCCTCCTCCACAATCCCTACATGCAATAGCTTTAGCCTTATGATTCCCTCAGCACTCATGTGTGTGACCTCCTAACCCTAGCTAGAAAGCAGGGTTCCAAATTCTAGGTGAGGGCTCAAGGGGAAAAAGTGGGTAAGGACAGGCCGGGCTCCACCTCTGAAGCAGGGGACAAAGCTTCTGGTTGTGACTCAGGGATCTGTTGGAAAAAAAAAAAAAGAAACGGAGGACAAGATAAAAGATTCATTTGGGGGCACCATTCAGACTTATACCAAGCAGACACTTCCTCCCCTCCCTCTGCACACCTCCCCCTTCTGTGATAAGGAGCCAGGAAGTCCCACTTAAAAGTGATGCTATGCTAATATGCCATCCTCCCTCCGACTCTCCAGGAAAGCCTGTTATCAGCTCTAAAGCTCCCTCTGGCTCAGATCATAGAATTAGCTGAGCATTCAAGAACAGAGATGCTGTAGTGATCAGGGGCTGCTATACCTGGCTCAAAGTTGAAGTCCAGTCCCTCGCCATCCATGAGGTCACTAATGATGTTATCCATGTCGCACTCCAGGTTCTCCATATACATATCAAGATCTAGATCCTGAGGCATTCTGTCATGGCTGGTAGCTTCAGTAGGAGATGAGAGCACAGGGGTCCCCAGGGCCTTATGGATGGGAGCCCCTGCCATGACTGGAGGTGGTGCCATCACAGAAAGGTTGGGAACCACGTTACTGGGACCTGGACCCTCTAGCGGCTTAGGACATAGGCTAACTCCAGTAGCCAGCTTGCTAGAGGAAGGCATTCCTCCCAGTAACAGCAGTGTAGGAGCCTGAGACAGAATAGGATCTACCTGGGTCATAAGAACATCAGCAGGAGGTGGTGGTGTATCAGAGGTGAGCAAGGCCTCTAGAGACTGGGAGCTTGAAAAGCACCCTTCTCCTGCTGACAAAGACCCATCTATTGGGCCAAAGAGGGAGGCACCATAGCTATGTAAGGGGCCAGCAAGCCCAGGATGTTGCAACGAGAAGCCAGGCAGACTGCTCCTAGACAGCAGGGAATGGGGAGACGCAAGATTGAGCCCATCTAGCAGCTCTAGATCTTCACTGAGGGGGGGAGGAACACCCCCCGAGTAGCTGCTGGCTGAGGCTGGCATTTCCTCTCCTGCTAGCACCTCAGACTCTGGCCCCATTGGGGACAGTCGGGTGCTAACAGTGCTAGCATTTGAACTGCTTCGTGGACGGAAAGTGGTCCACACATCAGCTTCTTCGCGGTTTCGAGAACAAGGGCTGCTTGACCACTTGGCAAAGTGGCCTAGAGGGCTCCTTGGAGTGGCACCTTCAGGTGGAGCTGGCAGGACCGATGGCTTCTTCTTGGGGCCTTTGCTGCGACCCCGGAGCAGCTTGCTGCTGCTATCCATGGAGGCAGCCCTGCGGCGGGGCGCCTTGCCACCCTTGCCACCCTCAGGGTTCAGCATCCACCAGGAGCTCTTGCCAGTGGCCTCGTTGTGAACCTTGATGAACTTGCTGTGCAAGGACAGGTTGTGACGGATGGAGTTCTGGATGGGACAGAGGTGTAGAAAAGAGGCATGAGGTATGTGTAGGGGAGGTTGGTAGCCAGTAGTCTAATCTAAGGGGAGGCTGGGACACAGCAGCAGAAGACTCAAAAGTCAAATCAGGGGAGAAATACACATTTCCCAAGCTCAGTGTCTCCCCCAGACTTCTTACAGGGAGACATAGTAACAACCTACTCTCCAGGGAGAGCAGCTATCTACCCTAGAATAGCTCCTTTCAGATCTCTGGGTGTAGGGTTGGGTTGGTGGGCACAGGGGAGTACTCCACCTTGGAAAAAATAGACTCAGTTGGGAAAAAGCATTCCATAGTACCATTCTTTTCCTGATGTGCAGGCTTGGGTAGAGGATACAAGATGGTGGCCATACCAGCCTGGGTATGACCTGGTTCTCTGAATAAGCTTAAAGGGCTAGAAGTTCAGTTCAGCTAGTACTCCTTTCTTCTCTAGACCCCTTTAGGTCAGCCAGATATCTCTCTAAGACTGAGATCCCAAGCCAGGCCTTTAATTCTAGAACTCTAGAGGCAGAGAGGGGATCTCTGTGAGTTCAAGGCCAGCCTGGTCTACAGATCCAAGTTCCAGGACAATCAGAGTTAGAGAGTGAGGCCCTTTCTCAAAACACCAGAAGAAAAAAAAATCCCAGTCTTCTTTCTGCCAATGGGGAAACACACAATACTTTCAAGAGGTGTAATTTCTCTGTCCCTCTTTCCTAGGAAGACATTTCCCTCTCAAAATTCTACTGGAGGCCAAGCTTAAATCTTATGCCTTTTAATAAAAAAGTGTTTGCTTATCCCCCATACCCAAATTTCTTGTCTAGTATTTTTCATCTGTTTTCCAGTTTTCCCCAATCTAATGACATGGTTTAGGGGTTCATGTAATTAGTCTTGTCAACTGTAAATACCAAAGGTACAGACAATGCCCCACCCCAGTCCCACTGTTCCCAAAGTGCCCCCTCAGAGTGTCAAGGCCACAGCATATCAAGTACACAATATATAATCAATACTTGTCTAACTGGTAGGTAGCCCCTAAATATCTATAGTGAGATTTTCCTTGAGGCTCTGTCAGTTCTTGGGTGTCTTGGGTATTGGGACCTACCTATTATTTACTCTGCTTCGCTGGTGACATTTAGAAAAAGATACCTTTCCTCCTAGTAGTCCATGGTGCAAGATGGAGACTGATACTTCTTGAGCCTCTGGTGCTGCTTGCTTTTACTGGTTGGTATACGCTGTCTGCCCCACCTCCCATCACTTCTCTAGCTCCTTCCCAGTCCCCCCTCCCCCAGTCATCTAATAATCCCTCCACCTTAAAGGTCTTTTGACCTCCCACATGGAGCTCTTTACTTTAGAAATAAGTTCAGGAGGAAGCTGCATGGTAAGAACCATGAAGAATCCCAGCGGTAGAGGCAGGCGGATCTTTGTGAGTTCGAGGCCAGCCTGTTCTACAAGAGCTAGTTCCAGGACAGGCCCCAAAGCTACAGAGAAACCCTGTCTCGAAAGACCAATAAATAAATAAATAAAAGAAAGAAACGGAGGCTCTATATAGAGAGAAACCATTTCTCTCTGAATGGTAACCCTTGTCTTGAAGAACGTGGCTTGACCAGCTTCTTGTGCCAGGGTCCTTTAGGGTAAGACTTCTTGCCTCCCTGAGCCCGGCCATCCACATCGACTCTTAGTAACTGAGCACGCGTGTGCGCGCGTGCATGTATGGTAGTGCTGGGGTCAAGCCCAGAGACTCACACGTGCTGTGCAAGGATTAACTACTGAGCCACCTTTCCATCCACATCACCTCTGTCAGACCTTGGGACAAGCAGGTAGGAGAGGTCAGTTCCCAGGTGCCTAGAACTCTTTGAGGTGTGTGTATTGGGGGGGGGAGGGGGGGAATAACTGCTCACTAAGCCACCAACTTTAGCGTTCTTGTTCAAGTGAGTGCCGCCCCCTGGTGGGGTGGGAGTGACCTTGGCACAACACCAGGGAAGTGTGAAGCTTCCTGCTGGGGGGGGGGCTTTTGGAAGCTCTAGACCCCACCTGACTAGGTCTGGCATTGAAAGTAGCACCTAACTTCCAGTGCCTGAATTTCCTCATATGCAAGATGTAGATTCTTAAGCTGCCACCGAGACTAACAAAATGAAAAAATTCTGAAATTATTTCACGGATTGTTTCACAGGTTATAGATTCAGCTTAGTGGCAACCGCGCTGCCCTGGGTTCAGTTCCCAGAACCAAAAGAAAAAAAAAGATTTCATAAACTATAAAGGCTGTGTTAAGCATAAATCATAAGGAGGGATTACTCCCACAGTATAACAAGCAACTAACTCCTGGTCATTCTACCCTGGAAAGTTAACCTAAGAGAAAAGAAAAACAGCTGCGCAGGCTGGGTCCAAGGAGGGGAGCTCTTTGTGAGCCTGAGATTGTGGCATGGCAGTCTACCCAGAAATAGTGCCAAGGGTCTCAGTCAGCTGTCCCATCTTCTGTTCTGTCTGGCCCCTACGCATACTGCAGATCTGTTCCCTCGCTCTAACATCTACGGAGAGCTCCTCCGTTCATTCTGTCCCCTGTACTTGGTACGCTAACCCTAACCACCTACAGAAGTACACGGCACTGCTCTGCTATGGGTTAAACGCCCCGATTCCCTCATTGTGTGGTCTGAGCCTCATTTCTCTGGCAAATTTCAGTTATCATCTACGATCTTCCCAGTTTCTTCAAGAAAGACCACGAGAACTTCCAACCTAGGCTCTAAAATCAGAGCGATACGACACCTCCTTTCTCACGAGTAGCATTCCTCAACAACAAAGACTTTCCCCGAGAGTTTGGATAGTTCCTTACGAGGAAGAATTTTCGGCAGTAGAAGGTAAACTGAGGCAGATAGCAGCTCACAGTCTTTTTCCTTAGTGCACAGTATCAGCTATCTTTCCTCGTGGATACCAACCCCTTCTTTTCCCCCTTCACCGCCCACTCCCTCTTGGGCAGAGCAATCCTCTAACAGTTCCTGTTCACTGAGGTATTGGAAGGCGAGCAGGGAATCCGAGTAATCCCGCAGGAATGGACCAAAAGGTGTTGGGTGGGAGGTGAGGGAGGAGGGAAGGCTAGGTGCGGGTGGAGAATCCACACAGTTCCTGCTGTACATAGGATAAAGACTTCTCTGTGGGAATAGATGTTTGGAGCAGCTCAAGCCAAAGTGCTGAGGAGGGAGTAGAGAATTCGATTTTCCTCAGAGCAGGGACAGTGTCTTATTCATCGCTGATCCTCCCG